ATATATGTAATTATGTGCATATAATGTTGCTACTTTCAAGTTTAAATCTCATTTGCGTGGCGTGGTTATTCTCCGTTAAAACGTTTTTAATCCAGGATAAAATGTTTTGGAAATTCCTTAAAAAAATCCTCAAAAACCTAAATTCCTTAAAAAAATCCTTAAAACTCTTCAAAATTCCTATTTTTAAGGATAATTCCTTAAAAGAGAGAGCACTGCTGACGATAGTTGGCGCCAAATGACGACATCCACGTCCTCTTGACGTCCGCGTCACAGAAGAGATACATGACTAGCCTGCGAACAGGCTCTCAAGCTGAATTGAGAGCCTGCATCGATGACTAATGAATTTGAATATCTGCGTCTCAAATCGTGACGCGAAATTCTCATTGGTCAGATGCTATAATTTATATGTTTCCGCTGAGCTCTATATATGTCAACTGCTGAATAAAAAAACACATTAACTGTTCATATTGGTCTTGGCCGTCTTATCTCAAAGCACGAAATGTTCTGTTTTGAGAAAACAGTATTTAAAACATTTGAACTTTTGCTTGAATATCTTATATTTCGAAAAATAGTATAAACTGTACGGTCTAAATTTAGTTTGCACGGTCTAAATTTAGTTTGCAGGAAAGTTGTAAACAACACCATATAATGATAGACATTCCATATTTGGAAAAACGAACGTTACGGGGCAGATATTCAAATTCATTAATCATCGATGCAGGCTCTCAATTCAGCTTGAGAGCCTGTTCGCAGGCTATACTAACTTAAGTGCGCGGCAGTAATCATTGGAGTACCAGTCAGGTACGACTAAAAAATTGAATTATCGCACCCTGCGTTTAATGTGACATTAACTAACAAATGTAATTAAATTTTCAGGTTAGCGACAGCGTTGAAAACGAAGCAATAGAATTTTCATGGAACAAAGACAATGTCCTTTCATGGTACTGGCCATGAAACCATAATAAACAATTGCGAAGAGTGAATTGTGAAGTTTTATATCATACGGAAACGGACGTATTGAGCAAAGGATTTATTAATACTGTAGCACTGGTCAAGATGAGTATAGACTTAGTGTAGTGTTCTCGATATTGGGAAGACAGCCAACTTCAGTCAACAAACAGCAGCATGCTCGAGAACTGGATCAAGTCCAGTGAACTCTATACATATCTGGAGCGAGAACTCGAGTCCAAAAAGTGAAGCCAGGATCACAGATTATATAATAACTACAGCGAAACACGCAATTTGATTGGTCAATAGCCGTGCAGGATAGCCTTATCCTGCACGAGGAATTAAAATGCCTTCGCGGGATTTTCGCGGGATTCTCAAAATGTCATTGTTTCACTGTAGTTATTTTATAAAACAATTACCAAATGGTTTTCCAAGCAGGATAGCGTGATCCATGCACTTGGGATGTTGCTCGACTTTCGGAAAGCGTAAAAATACACTCGCCTGCGGCTCGAGTATTTTTACGCTTTCCGAAAGTCTCGCGCCATCCTCGTGCATGGATCACACAATCCTTCACGGAAAACCATTCGGTATTCCTTTAATACTACACAGAAGTCCATCTCCTTTGTTTTTTGCGTAAGCTCTATTCGTCATGATTCGTCATTCAGCAATTACCGTAAACAGAAGCAGTCACCCCCCTGGACGTGCGCCATTTTGAGTATTTCCAGGGGGGGACTGCTTTTGTTTACGGTACTTGCTGAGTGACGAATCATGACGAATAGAGCTTATGCAAAAAAACAAAGGAGATGGACTTCTGTGTAGTATTCTGTGCCAGGATGGCGGAAATTGAAGAGTTATTGGACGTCAATTCCAGTAACACGAAGGTGTGTGCCGAAATTTCGTCTTTTAACATAAATAACACTATGGTTAAATAGTAACGAATAACACTATGGTTTTATGAACTGCTAACTTGTTTAGCGATACGGTCCGTTATTAAAACTGTTTACGACCTTCATAGCTGTGGACGTCAATTTCCGCCATCTTCACTTTTCTCACAGGCCGAATGACTGAAGTTCTTGCTCTAGATACTATGGAACCATAGATATCTTATATACACTAGATAGCGCATCTCTTTTAGTAAAACTGAAGCCAAGAATATTCCAGCGGTTACCCCCATTTGAATAGATGGCGGCCATGTGGAGTTTCCCACTCGCTAATAAACGCTTAAAAAACAACAATAACTTTCATCATTTGAATAGTTTGAAAATGTATTTGGAATAGGTTTAACTTAATGTTTAAGTTCCCTGTTTAAGAAATAGAAAACATACGAGTCTTCTCATTTCATGGGAATATCATGAGTCTGCAATAACGGCTTCAATTTTTGAATTGCAGATGCACTATCTAGTGTATATAAGATATCTATGTATGGAACTCACTGATCATATGACTGACTGCTTTATACTCGCTGTAGCCAAGCTGCGACGGTGAGATGAAAACGGTCAAGATATTCATCTTGGATATTCATCGAACTATTAGCTACTAAGTTGATAATTAAACTTTCTTATCACCAAGATGACATGGAAGATGTTTCGAAATTGCTTTCAGGTTTTGTACGTGACGATCGGTCCGGGGTGGGCAAAAAATCTGAAATTTTCAACAGATCCGAGGTGGGCGAAAAATCGGAAATTTTTGACAGGTCTCGTTGGGTCATTAATTGCAGTCAAACCGGTCTCTTGCGAGCAACATTGCAATATTGTCCCGCTATTTTGATATAGGCCGATTGCTCTGAACAATTCGTAAGCCACGCGAACAAATTGCAAGTTTAAATTCACAAAAGATTTGGAAACAAAGCCTCTGATTGGACTATAAGAAAAAGGGAATCAAATCCAGTTGCACAGACTATTTGATTGGCTTCCTTTTTACTATGTCGAATCAGAGGCTTTGTTTACAAATATTTTGTCAATTTCAACTTGCAATTTGTTTGCGTCGCTTGCAAATTGCTCAGAGCAATCTGCCTATCAAAATTGCAATATTGCGGAACAATATTGCAATGTTGCTCGCAAGAGAACATCCGGTTTGAGTAAACAGATATCAAATTTCATCGCGCTCGAACAGCGGCCTATTGAAGACCATTCAAACCATGACGAGATGAAGCTCTTTTATATTTTATTTCTTTCCATTTTCTCACTTGTCAATTGCGCAAGCAGCAGAGGGCCAAAGGTAACACAAAAGGTAAGATTCTTTTATTAAATTTTGCGCAATGTGTGTTTATGTGTGCGCAAATAAATAAAACTTCGTGTCAGAACAAAGAAGCTATTTTATATTTGTTATGTCCAGCAGAAATCGTATCAAACATAGACCGCGAGCAGTAACATTGAAGTAAATACATTTCAAGGACAGTTTTCTCTCTGACGGTGGTTTACGCTGTCAAACAGTTTGATCAATGTTAATGCATAAGGATCAAAACTCTTCGATAGTAAAACCGGCCCGAGGAAGTTACCATGAATTGAGCATGAACTTGCGCTGATTCGAGTGAAATTTTAATAAAACCTGAATTATTATTAGCCAAATCATGACATGGATTGCAGTTTCAAATGCTCGCTTCAATAGGCTTCATTCATAATTTGTAAGTTCAGCCCGTAACTGCGATCCGTGACTATAAGCCGGATGCAATATTTTTCACAACACTAAGTATGGTGCCTCTGGTAGTATAGACCGCTGGGCAGAGTCTGTAAAATGGGTGTCAGTAGTAGGTGCGAGATGTATTTATACCGTACGCCCTGGCTGTATGAGGGAGTTTAAGGTGCCGACAACGAACAACGGGAACGGAATATGTGGTTTTGCATTGTTTTAACTGAGGCACACAACATTTACATATCCCCAGAGCATACTTTTCACTGTGGCAACATTTGTATTTTATTTGTATTCCTTAGTTCTTCGGCAGCCGTCGTCGCGTCATATCAATGGCGTCAGCGAGTCAATATGATTCTCCTCGTCGTAGTAATATGGCGCAAACGCGTCCAAATTTTTTTCATATTGACTCTTTGACGTCATTTTGCTAATATGATGTGAAAAATCCGTATTTGGTTAACCATTGAGTTGATATGACAATTTCACAGTTGGCTGTTAGCTAATCAGAAACCAGGAATTTTTTAAATAAATAATAAAATACCTTATTGAATTCTGATCGTTTAATTGGCTGTTTATGGTCACGTGATATTGAATAGAAAATTCCGTTTCCCAAGAATGCAATGGAATACTTCCATTGCAGTCTTTGTGAGTGCGAGTGCAATTGCACTATACGTTTTATTCCATTGCACTTTTTGTGTTTTGAATGATTTGAAACATTCAGTTTCTGTTATATTTGTGTGTATTTATTTTAATAGTAAATGGTGTTTTAATTAAACTGTTCTTGAAAAAGCAATATTAGTCTATTTTGGTATTATATAAAACAAATAATGAATGTTTTTATTCGTGCAATGGTAAGAATATTTTCATTCGGTGAAAGATGGAATGTTCCATTCAACTCGGCTGTCGCCTCGTTGAATGGAACATTCCATCTTTCACTTCATGAAAATATTCTTGCCATTGCACTCATAAACATTCATTATTTGTATATTGGCAGGGATAAGATTTCATTACTATAAATAGTGCCATCGCAATTTACATTTTCTTCTTCAGGCTTACTTTGACATCACAATAGGAGATGAAAAACAGGGTCGGATTGTTATTGGTTTGTTTGGCGAAGTAGTGCCAAAAACTGTGAGAAATTTCGTTGCCCTAGCAACGCACGAGGTAAGCACACACGAGAACGAGATCGAAAGCCGGTCAGTGGCAGCCTAGTCCCTAGGCCTCTTAGTACGCCTATTTCGCGTAAGCGTGCACAGAGGACTAGGGCTAGTCTGGGTCAGTGGATGGCAAAATACCGACTGGTTCCAAGGGGTAATATATATTCGGAAGTCTGCCGCAGGGGGAGTGGTCTAATCAAATAATCGTCGAATACACAGAATAACTATGCATGGGGTCCGGCCGGAAAATGTTTCTATTTTTATGGCCTGCGGAATGCTATTTCATCTATAACTAACAGACAACGGCAAAATCTCATCTATTTGTCTTATATAATAAAAAGAAAACCCCCAAATTAAACAAATAAATAGCTTACTTTTTGTCCACCCAAACATTTGAAAATTTGAAAAAGTCGAAATTTTACAAATATCACGCGTACGGCGTACATAATCTATACAAATAAGGGAATGCTATTGGATAAGGTTTTGTGCGACGTAATTCCGTGTGTCTGTCCCATAGAAATAATAGACATTCTAATATTTCTATTGTCTAATATTTCTATGGTCTAATATTTCTATGGTCTGTCCTCTAATAAATCATGGATCTCGATCAATGTATTATTGAATTCTTAACGTTATTATATAATTGCTATATTACGCTATGTTCCAGACGAAGGGCCTTCGCTCGAAACGTTCAATCAATTCATCTGCACTTCTGTGGATTAATTTTATTTTTCTAATATGTAGAAGGGATATGGTTACAGAGGAAGTAAGTTTCACAGAGTTATCAAGGATTTCATGATACAAGGTCAGTTTATGCACCACAGCAGACAAGTCATTCAGGGAATCAAACAGGAAATAATGTTTACTGATAGAATTCCGTATAATTATGTAAATATTATATAATATATGTTATGTACAATTTAAAACATGAGCAGCAGTGTTTTATCAGATATAAAGATTCCAGGTGAAGCCGAGTATTTTTAGGTCTGATTAAAAACGCACTGCGAATGTTTTAAATTGCTTCAATCGACTAGTAAGTTCATTGACATTGGCGAAGTAATTTTCAAAAAATACGTTGTGTAAGTCGAGAAAATCAAAGTTAAAGTTTATGTAAATCAAGGGAAATCACATATAGAGATACGACATTCTTATGATTTTTCTTCGTGTTTTCCTCATGAATTATTAATGAGTTTTTGAAGATATATATGTTTAGGTTATTTAGAGACTGCTTCTATCTATCTGTAGGCGGTGACTTCACACATGGAAATGGCCGAGGGGGTATGTACATGATGACATAAACTGAATTAAGTTATAATTGGATATTAAAGGCACAGTTAAGCCTTTTGAATGATGGTTTTTAAGGCGCAAGAGAAGATAAGAGGAAGGAATGCGAAAGAAAG